GAACTCGAACTCCCCCCCCCCCTCCCCTCGAACGATGACAGTTCGAACCCTCGAACTCGAACTCGAACTCGAACTCCCCCCCCCGCCAAAAAAAAAAAAAATCCAGACCTCGAACTCGAACTCGAACTTCCCCCCCCCCATCCCCTCCGAAGCAGACGTACGAAGCCAGTTCAAACTGGTATCGAACAGTTCGAACCCCCCCGGGTTAACTCGAACCCTCGAACTCGAACTCGAACTCGAACCCCCCCCCTCCCCTCGAGGCACACCTAGGATGGCAGTTCGAACTCGAATCGAACAGTTCGAACCCCCCCGGGGCACACTCTGCATGGGTGTACAACAGTTTCACCAGCACAGTATGGGAACACATTGATTTAGGATTATGGAAACCCCATTTTAGGAAATCTCCATTTCATATAAAGAATGGAAACAGTATGATGATTTAGGGATACCCCCATTTTAGGATAAATCATCCATCTTAATGGAACATATAGGAACATGGTTGATAAATGATTGCATTTTTTGATATTAAACAGTGGAACATCTGGGAACATGGTTTTTCCAAATGATGGCATTTTTTGATCTTCTTTTTGGACGTTTCAGAAAGTTCGATTCATGGGACTTCGGTTCGGACTTCACCACGTTTTCCTATCCCGGGATGGCCCTTTTTAATCCCAGAAATGTGAAACAAGGGAGGGGATTGTGATTTTAAGGTAGGGATGTATTTGTACCCTCTGGTAAACTAACATAGCTATGGAAAATCACCATTTTGAATAGGTAAATCAGCTATAAACGGGGTATTTTCAATGGCTATGTTAAATTGCCAGAGGGTAGGGATGTATGTGTCTCATGTGTGAGTTTAAGATAAGGCAAGATCATAAAGATCTGACAAGATCAGCCATGATAAAGAAATAGCGGGGTAACCTGGTTTACTGGAGATTATGAACGGATCCAATGTGGAAAATCGCAGAAAAAAACCAACGAGTATAATCAGAAGGATGATAGCTGCTTTTGAACACTGCTCATATTACCCTCTGGTAAATTAACATAGACCCTGGCAGATAGGGGTTGGAAGACTAGTTTCCATTAAAAATTGGTGATTTTCAGGGTCTATGTTAATTTACCAGAGGGTAATAATGCATGTTTCTGCCATATACTGATATATAATCGTATCTCATGATCGTCATTTCCGTTTGCCGGCTATTTTGCTGTTTATCATGTACCCTCTGGTAAACGTTTATATAACTATGGAAAATCACCATTTTATAGCTGGGTAAATCCACTATTTCTATCACCATTTTCAATAGTTATTTTGACATAACCACGAGGGTACATAGCATAGCAATGATGTGGCGTGCTTGACATAACCAAGAGGCAGATCATCTAGGTTGAACAGAAAAAATGCCTGAAGTTGAATAGACAACTGGATAGCCAACCTGGTTGGTTGGTACTTCCCATTTTCAGGTACACCCTGGTTGGTTTTTGTTGGTGGTTTCAAACATGACTTTGATTTTCCATTTCATAAATGGGATGTAATATTCTTCCCATTGACGAACTCCATGATTTTTCAAGATGGTGATTGCACCACCAACCAGTTATTGTTTTTTTGGGGGTTGATATCCCGCGCAAGAAAACGTGTTTGAACCGGTTGTCTATCTACACTTCCACGTCCGAAGTGTCGCTGGTGACCATGGTGACCAGCTATGGGTGGTGACCAGCTCAATGGGCATCGTGCAGCACGATCTAGCTCTACAACGAACAAATATGGGGTATATACCCAACAAAACTTCCAATCTCTACACATTTGGACCATATCTAGCGGCGCGAAACTGTGAGCACACCTAGTCTGGTTGGTGGTTTGGAACATTGTTTTTTTTCCATATATTGGGAATAATAATCCCAATTGACTCATATTTCTCAGAGGGGTAGGTATACCACCAACCAGTATTGAATGGTGGGTAAGTCACTATTTTGTGCTGTCATCGAGGGTATCATTTTCGACATGAAAGCGCCGAAATGGAGTTGCAAGGGGCCCCTGGACTGGGAGATTCAGGGTTTCAATGTTGATCCCGCCCCATATTTGTTGGTCGCAATTTTCAGAAGAATTGTTCAATCTTTAGAAGGCTGAAATATCTCCATGTGCAACATCGGATAAAACGTATCTAAAATTCAAGAACAATGCTCTATTAGGCGCCCAAAGTAGATAAGATAAAACCGTTTTTTAATCTCCAATCTTCCGCGGTCGGTTCCACCGGGATCTCAGGTGCTGAGCTGGTCTCGATTCAAGCGAAGGTGCCATGTACCGAATTGCAGAATGGACATATCAAGCACAAATCTTTGGAATAGAATGATGGAGGCTTTACTATCATTCTGGTTGGTGGTTTGGAACATGAATTTTATGATGTTCCCATCATATTGGGAATAATCATCCCAACTGACTAATATTTTTCAGAGGGGTTGAAACCACCAACCAGCATATCAAGCACAAATCTTTGGATAATTTCCATGACCTCACGTCCTGACGTTGGAATGATGATGTTTGTAAGACTTGTAAGAATCATCTAGCTGGTTTTATTAAAACGCTATTTTCAGCGTAGTGAATCATTATAACTCAGCCAGAAATATTGGGATTTAACAGTCACAGGAGCAAAAGTGATCAGATCAAGCATGGTTTTGGCCTCTGGTGCCTCTTGCAGATCTTGCATAGAACAAGCCAAAAAAACAACGGATTTCAAGATTGTTTTACCAGTGAACAATTCACATCGTTACGTTCCAAGTTGTGATTTGGATGAAAAATCAACAAAATCGCGTACATATGTGTAGATATATATATACATATACTGGTTTTTGGAACATGGATTTTATGACTTTCCCATCATTTTGGGAATGTCATCATCCCAACTGACTTTAACTCCATGATTTTTCGGGTAGGGGGCTCAACCAGCAAGCAGTGAACGATCCCAGCAGGTGGGCGATGCCTCCTACGATTTCACCAACGCCACTGGGCCTGGTTTCGGTTGGAAGGGGGCTATTCAACTTACTGGTGCTTAGTAGGGAATGGATGGGAATGGGGGAATGGAATGAGATATTGAATGGGATTGAATGAGATACTTAAAAGACTGATTGGTGGTTTGGAACATGAATTTTATGATTTTTTCCATATATTGGGAATTTCATCATCCCAACTGACGAACTCCATCATTTTTCAAAGGGGTTGAAACCACCAACCAGTGGGACGGGATTTGTAGTTTGGGGGACCCTGATATCGCAGAGATTTTTCTGGATGAGTCTGGCTCAAGCTCAAACCCTTGCGGTGGCCATCTGAATGAAGCACGTTCAGAAGCAAATCCGACGTGCAGAGCAGGATGGACTTTTCAGGGCTACAACTGCAAATGCTTTGTTCAATTTCCATTTTTTGAATTCAATCTCCAAATACGTCCAAGCCAGCCCAGACCGGACAGCCAGGTATGATTCTCTGGAGAGGGTGTCGCAGGTGGATTTCTTTATCAGCCATTCTTGGTCATGTCCATCTTGGATGAAACGACTGGCTTTGTGTCATTGCCTCAACCTGAACTTGGCCATTGGATCATGCGGCATTGCTTTTCTGCTGGCCATTGTGATCTTGGTACTACATGCAGGTAGCATCCGTGCTGTGGCACAGCAAGATCCAGCACTGAGGTACTGTCTTTCATTGCTGTGGCCGTTCTTTGTGTTTCTTGGCACGTATCTCTTTGGACATCTGCTGCATCCTCGCAGGTTTTGGATAGATCAGGTCTGTGTCCATCCATCCGATGCGGAGGTGAAGTCGCGGACCCTACAGGCTATTCCTGCCTTCGTAGCTCAGTCAAATCAGATGCTGGTGATTTGGGATGACACTTATTGGCAGAGACTCTGGTGTAGCTATGAAGTCGCTATCGATGTGAAAACTTCTTCCGCCCCAGAGGCCATATGCTTTGTGCCAGTCTGGATACCTTTGTGGGTCTTGTCGAGCTTCACTTTGTCGATTTTGGTATGCTTTTCAACTGTTGGAGAAGTCTGGTCTTACCAACTGGATTTGGATTCAAGGCTTTCATGCATAGTCTCTTACATGATGAATGAAGTGCCCGCGAATGTGGTTTACGCAGGATGCTGTGCTTTCCCTTGTTTCTGGCTGTGCACGCAGAAACTGCAGAAACACGAGAAGATGCTAAATCAGATGAAGCACTTCGATGTTCGAAGTGCTGAGTGCACAGTGGAAAGTGACCGCATAGTCATCCAGGAACAGATTGTTAACCTTTTTGATGAAGCCTTGGAGCCTCCGGTTCAAGTCCCTTTCGGAACTGTTGCAGATGCTCCGGATGCTCCTTTGATGTCCCCCGACGTGCTTCAGGACATCCGTGACATCACTAGCTACCCGAGCCGTGATGAAATCCTGGACCAGTTCAATGCATATGTGAGGGGCCCATTGCGTGGAAGCGTTGAAGCATCCGTGGGGAAAGAGGATTATCTTCCTCTTAACTCTTGCGTCGCTGCTACTTTGCCAATGATTTTGTGTGGCTTCATGATTGCGCTTGGCTGTGATGGCCAGGCGGATTGTGGGATGTCAGCCTCCAATCTGGGCTTTGCTTCGGTGACGGAGTACATGCTTGTCAATATGTTTGTTTGTGGAATACAAACACCCTTGACATGGATCCTCACATGTCCTCTGGTGCTGCGAACCACCCACCTAGTAACCCGAGCCATGTCCAGTGGAATTTGGCAGACCCTCGTGGGTGCATCTCTCACAGGATTGGTGCTAGCTGCCTGTTTCTGTGGCATAAGTCTTCAATTCGTGCTGTTAATCGTGGTCGTCAACAAATATTCGACAATATGTTTGGGAGCTTATGTGGCCTGCTTTGCCATTGTGTTCTGGGCAGTTTGGTTTTGCTTCTTCAGGACCTCAGCCCGACACTCCTCACGACGTTTTGCTGTTTCTGCTTCAACACCTTGACGTCCAAGATGCAAGGGAAAAAGGACATGATTTTGTTTTTGCAGCATGACTTCTGTGAATTTACATGAAACTTGTCCGGCGACAGTTCTATTTTTGCATGACGACGCACAACGGAAGGCAATTAATTTGTTGGGGGGGTTGAACATGTAGATATTTCTAGATTTTTGAAGGAGAAGATCACCCCAGGCATTTAAAATGCTGGTAGATACCACGGAGGCGTGGCCTAGCATATGGGCCGCAAGATTCAGGTTAGTGAAATATTATAATTTACCCATATATATATACTATATATATATACATATGTATGTGTATGATGTACTATACATACAGATATACATACTCCCAAGAGACAAAGATCGTACCCCCCAAAACAGATAGAAGAATTGGACACCTAGAAATGATGTTTGGAAAAAAGGTAATATTTATGACATCCTAAAAAACTTGAGCCATACCCCAGGTAGTGAACTGTGGGACAACTATGGTTATTCCATGTTGTTCCATTTACCCTCTGGTTATTTAACAGTTCGCTATGGGAAATGATCCATAGAAATAGATGGTTTACCTATTAAAAATGGTGATTTTCCATGGCAAACTGTTAGTCATAACCAGATGGTAAATCATCATTAATCCCCATTAATCACCATTAACTATCATTATTAACCACTATTAAATCCCATTAATCCCCATTAAATAACCAGATGGGTTTTAGGGTTTTAACTATGGCTACTTTTAGCAGTAAATCTGGGAGGATTCCCCGTTCCCCAAAACAAATCCGGACCGACCAAGTCTCTGAGTTGGACATTGGCTATGTATTGCTTGCAATTATCTGGGTATGTCTGAAAATGGGGTATACCCCCAATGAAATAGCCATAAAAAGTAGGGATAATGATCAGCAAAACCATTGGGTGTAGGGGTACACTATTTTCAGACAAACCCATCTGGGTAAATTATAATATTTCACAAACCTGAATTAAGGCCATAAAAGGGGATGATTCCCCAAAAATTAACCATGATTCCCAGTGAGGGAGAACAATGAGGTCGTTATAATTTACCCAGAATTATGTGTGTTTCATCATGTTTTTCCGGTTGATGTACCAATTTTGGTGGATAAATCTTACCCAGATGCGAACCATGGTCCTGGAATATTTACCTACAAAACTGGGCCATAAAAATGCGGTTAGGTAAATATTCCAGCACCATGGTTCGCATCTGGGTTACATCATGCTGCAGAATATCACTGATCGTCTACCCGGTGGTAAACAAACATAGCTATTGAACATGGCCATTTAGTGCGTTGATTTACCTACTAAAAACGGTAATTTTCCGTAGTTTTTTGTATGTTTACCAGAGGGTAATCTGCAACTTTGCTTGAAAAATCTCAGGCTCGCTTTGGCGTGGGCATTGATGGTCCCATTGTCGTCACTGGCAGATCTCAAACAGCGCCTCGCTGATTGGTACCTATCTTAAGGTCCCTGTTGGTTCATGGTTGATCCCTACCATTGGGAATATCACGTTGGACTTAATGGGATGTTATGTGATTTAACGTGTTTTTAATGGGATTTTATGTGATCTTATGGCATTGTTAATGAAGATTACCTACTTGGATATGCATCCCAGCGATGTTGTTGGTCTATAACGCCCGTTCGCTATAGATACCTCTACCAAAACCCAATTATTGGAGGAATAAACCAACTTTGCTATTTTGGGGAAGTTAGTAAGTTGTTTACAACCCATATGTCAACCTCTTTTGCGGGTGATTCTCTATATATATATACATACCTTGGATCTAATGATTAGTACCCACTTTCTGAGTGGGATTGCTCGAGTCGGCTCAGAATTTATAACGTCATGAATTGCCACGAACTATGCATTATTTCCGTCAGATAAATGCATCTTCTTTCAAAGACGCATTTGCCCTTTGAAACATGCACTGGTTCTTCAAATATGCAATATTTCCTTGAGATAAATGCATGTTCTTTCAATGAAGCACTTCCTTGAGATAAACGCACCTTCTTTCAAAGAAGCATTTGCCTTTTCAAAAATTAATTATTCTTCTCGAATCTGCAGTAGTTGCTTGAGAGAAATGGAGACATCGACGGCATTTTGCAGTAAACAGCGTGCATATCATAGGTTTTAACCAAGCACTACTAGCAAGCTACAGCATATATTTGCAACACAATTCCATAAAATGCATCAACTTAGACACATTGATTTTGGAATGATGTATACGTTAAATGTATTCAAATGTTGTTTATTAAAAGGATCCGGTTTACTGTGTGTTTAGCACCATGACATGCAAAAAACACCGTAGAATAAGGCGTTTGCTTTAAGCATTTGGGAACTAGATTTTACATCCCCGCCAACGGCCGCTCTCTCTGTCAACGGTGGCAAGAACCAGTTCAATAGTGATTTGGAAAACTGGTTGGTGGTTTGGAACTCATCATCCCAACTGGCTTTCACTCCATGATTTTTCCGAAGGGGTAGGGCTCAACCACCAACCAGAGGGTATCCCATATAAATCACCATTAAATCCCATTAGACCCCATTAAATCACCACTAAATCACCATTAATGTCAGGGTTGATGAATCCGGGGTTGAAAGGAGACCACACATGAAGGGGAGACCGACCTGAAAAACGATGCTCAGGTCACCATTGGGGCCATTGGGGGCACTGTTTTTCTTAGGCTTCAATGCCCATGTTTGTTATCTCAATTCCGAGTTTGCTTGGTTAATCAACATTTAAGTGTTGCCTCAATTTCTAGTGGAAAACATGTGTACCTATGATGTATACATGTATAAAAGATTATTTAACAGTGTGTGCGCAAACACGTACATGTACATAATTTGATTACACTATATATATATATGTATATATATATATGTATGACATACATGTATACATACAATGGACAGCACCCGGGAAAAAAACAAAAACAAAAAAAACACCACGTTGTTTGTTTTCCCCTGCGCCCAGATGGTGGTAATTGAGATGATGGTGCACAATGGTCCGTATGCCCGGTGCGGATCGGTCTCAGCGAGTTGACGGAGATCTATAGATGAAGGACTGAGGATAGAAAACCATAGGAAAACCATAAGAAAACCATAGGAAAATGGTGGTTTAATGAGTTTTTATGGTGGTTTAATGGATTTTTTTTTACGATGGTTTAATGGGATTTAATGGGATATCATGGGGATTTAGTGGGATATAGCTCAGCCTTATGGGAATTAATGGTGTTGAATGGGGTTTAACCGGATGTAAAACAAACCATTACGGGGGTATGATGGCCTATATACCTAATCCCTTCCGCAATTCACATTAAACACCACCAAAAAAATTACGGTTTAGTAGGAGATGAACTGAATATTAGGGGAATGGGATAAAATATGTAGTTATACATAGTTATACATACATATATATATATACATGTGTATGCATATATGTGTGACATGTATACTGTAGGATCATCATTATATAATCACATGTTGAAGTGAGGATGGTTATCTCCCACTAAAGAAACACGTCTGCGAGATGCCGTCCTTATCAGAAGCACCCCCATGCCGGTTTCTTTTTGCCTTCGTGGATGATGGCTGCGATCCCAACCACTGGAATATCACCCAATCATTTGGGGATTTTGAACATCACTTTCAAATATTTGTTGAAGATTATATCCCCAATATTTCGGTGATGTTCACTTGGGACATTTACCAACCCCGTTCTAATTCTAATCAATTCTGATCCATGTGTTGGTTAGATATGAAGCTATTCCCCCTACCAGTACCCTCTGGTGATTTAACATAGCTATGGGAAGTTGCCCAATGATGATAAACATATAAACATGATGATTTACCGAACTTAAAACTGCTGTGGTTTTCCAGTTCACAAACCGCTAAAGGCTACCCTCTAGTAAACTAACATAACTATGGAAAAGCATAATTTTTTAATGGGTAAATCAACTTAAAATGGCCATGTTCAATGGCTATGTAAGAAATTACCAGAGGGTAGTCCATCAATATCCCATTGAAACCCATTAAATCCACAGGCTATTTGTGGTGCTTAGGTCAATCAGCAGCTTCCAAAAATCCCCTCCATCACCTCAGGTGTCGGGGCAGAGATTGCCATCCACAACATCCAAAATCCCATGACGTTTGCGATGCCCAGGTGGAAAATTGCTGGAAAACCCTATAAAATCTGGCTGGTGGTTTGGAACATGTTTTTATGACTTTCAATCAGCAGCTTCCAAAAATCCCCTCCATCACCTCAGGTGTCGGGGCAGAGATTGCCATCCACAACATCCAAAATCCCATGACGTTTGCGATGCCCAGGTGGAAAATTGCTGGAAAACCCTATAAAATCTGGCTGGTGGTTTGGAACATGTTTTTATGACTTTCCACATATTATCATATTGGCAATAATAATCCCAACTGACGACGAACTCCATCATTTTTCAGAGGGGTAGGGCTCAACCACCGACCAGAAAATGCTGAAAAACTGGACAATTTGATGGTTACCCTTGAAAGTAATCAATGGCAAACTTGAAAATCTCCTGTGAATGGACATTTTGATGGGAAAATTCATCGATAAATAGATGTCCTTTTCCCATTGGTTGGTTGATTAATAGAGGGGTTTGAAGAAACCCCTTCAACAACAGGTAAATGATGATAGATGGTATACCAAACCGGCCCCTCTTTTTTTACCAAAAGACATTATTGCTATAAATGGGTGGACTGTCACTTGTCATGTTTGATGACCGGAGGGTAATCACCATTTTCCCCATGAAAAATTGGTGCACTTGGGAGGCCCCCATTTTTTTGGACACCCATTTTGGGATTTGTCCATTTTGGATCATTTTGGGATATGGAAAAAGACAAAGAGGAACATGATAACAATATGGCGTTTACCCAATGCTGAGTAGCCCACTTTTGGGCAACATCTTCCACGCAGATGTTCCCCACATGGCCATGTGGGGGGCCGGTGATGTGGATAGTTCACCCCCATGGGGCGCTAAAAAAACATGGGTTGAT